CGCCTCCCCCCGGGCCGTCCCCCCCGAGCCCCCAAAACGTGGAGGGAACGATGGTCCCGGTCCCCGGGCAGAGCCCAGCCCCGGGAGGCAGAGCCCGGCAGAGCAGCGGTTGTCCCGTGGGGAGGGCTGGAGGGGCAGTCCCCGGGTTCTTCTGAGCTGGGTTTGGTGCTGGGTGGGGGTCACCGGGGTGTTCGGGGGACAGGGGTGCACGGGGCTGTGTCTGTAGGACACGGAGCCGATAGAGCATCCTGGGTGCGGGAATCAGGAGCTCCTCTTCCCCTTCCACACACACCCATCACCTTTCTCCCCGTGCCCAGGTGGCCAAGATGGCAAACGGCATCCTGGCCTGTATCAGCAATAGTGTGGCCAGTAGGACCAGGGAAGTTCTCTTCCCCCTGTGCTCACCTCAAGTACTGTGTTCAGTTTTGAGCCCCTCACTCCAAGAAGGACGTGGAGGCGCTGGAGCTGAGGACGGGTCTGGAGCACAAGTGTGATGAGTTCCCGGCTGAGGGAACTGGGGTTGTTGAGCCAAGAGAAAAGGAGGCTGAGGGGAGACCTTCTGGCTCTGTCCAAGTCCCTGAAAGGAGGGTGGAGAGAGGTGGGGGTGGGTCTGTTCAACCAAGGACCAAGGGACAGGACAAGAGGAAATGGGCTCCAGTTGCTCCAAGGGCAGTTGAGATGGGATGTGAGGAAGAATTTATTTGCTGAAAGGGTTCTGAGGCATTGGAAGGGGTTGCCCAGGGCAGTGGTGGAGTCCCCATCCCTGGAGGGATTGAAGAGTCGTGTAGACATAGTGCTGAGGGACATGTCAGTGTTGGGTTCATGATGGGACTCGATGATCTTAAAGGGCTTTTTCCAATCAAGGCAATTTTGTGCTTCTGTGCAGGAGCTGGCATGCTCACCCTGAAAATCATGAAGCCGAGGAATTAAGCTAAAGTGCAATGATTCTTCCCAGAAAATTTGTCAGTGAGAGTGCACGTAGAAGACAAACTCCAAAAGGCAAGGAATGATTTAAAACACATTTGTGGGTATTTTAAAATATATACCCAGGCTTATGTAGGAATCACAGCTGACTAGTAGCAGAGGGAAGTAGGGGAACACCTACCTTCTTCCAAGAAGAGCTTCTGCCTGAGCACCATCTATGAACCCCTCACCGTACCCTGCATCTGTAGAAAAGCAAGTCAGTTTACTTCAATTGTGAATCGTAGAGCAAATCCAGAAGCACACAACCATCTCCTTTACATGTCCATGTCCTTCACATTGCCTCCTCTCCAGAAGGAGGAGGAGGGTCCAGAAGACCTGGGATCATGTTAGCCCTCCCTGCTGTGCATGTTTCTGGTCGGTCTGAGGAGCAGGTCACACACTGTGCTCTGGGATTGGGACAGACTTGTTGCTAAGCTGAACACAACAGGATAAGAAGCTTTGGGAGAGACTCATCTGATGACGATGTCATCTCTTTGCAACCTCTAGTGACTCCAACGGCTGCACCATGGTTTGCTCTGTTACTCTCAGGTTGTTCCTTCTTCCTCTGAAGTAAGTCAGGGTTTCTCTTCTGCCTCTAAAGCAGAACTTCATACCATGAGTGACCAGTTCCCTTTTCCTTTTAAATAAGTGTGCCACACTGCTTATTGCAGTGGTGTGAGCAAATGATAGCTGAATTGATAGAGACTTTAGAATTTCACTCAAGGAAAGCATTGCCTGACTATACCCCAAGGAAACAGGATTAGTCCTAAAGGGCTATGAATGTTAAAAACCTTATTTAACAACAATATTGTTATTCAAATCAGCCACGGGGGAGAAACAGAACAAACAAACAAGCAAACTCTGAATACCTAAGATTGAGAGACAGACTCTGAATTGATCACCAATCCTATTGGATTTAAATAGTATATTGATGATCTGGCCTATGTACTGCACATAACCAAGGCATCAATTAATGAAGTCAGATACAATAAAGCATATTTTATTATAAGTGAAAGGAATACACCCAGAGAAGAAACCAATTTATTTCACCCAGAAAGCTGTGGACTGAAGAAGCTTTGGCAGTATTTGAACTCCCAAGAAGATGGTTTTTGGATGGCGGAGGCAATAGGAACAAAGACCAGTTTTATTTTTTTAATGAACATAGATGAGATACTCTTCACAAACTGGATAGGGAGGTCTCACTCTGCACTGTAGGGTCAGGCAACCTGACATCAGAATTACAAGAGGAGCTCAAGAGAGCCGAGGGCAGGCTGGGGTCAGGCTGGTTTGTGTTACCTGCTCTGGAAATTGCTGGGACCAGCATGGGGAAGGCTGGGCTGTGGCCGTGCAGGTTAGTACCTGAAAGAGCCAATTCTTCAGGTTTCCCACATCGCTTGTACTGCCTCCTGCTCCTAAAACCCTCACGTAATCATAGCTATTTTTCAACTCAGTTGTAGTACAAAGGAGACCTCCTGTGAAACAGCAAAAGCTATTGCTGCTGAAATACCGAGTTTGACACAAACAGGATTTTTTTCCACTCGTACTTTTATCTTGATCAGTTAAGTGAAAGACAACCATGTGTCGGCTGGGACTCCACATGCATCTGAAAGAAAATGCATTGACCTTCTTTAGCTCGTTAAGAAGGGTGAAACCACAGGGACAATGTGACCTGTATTTCAAAGAGGGACTCAAAACTCCCAGAGCCTGACCTTGCAATCTTCATTCCTATGATTTCTCACCTGCATTGGCATAGCAGGAGGCCAGGACACAGAGAGGATCTGCCTTTAAGCATCCAACTAACCTCACTGGTTTTAGTGGGGTTACTCACAGGTTAGAAGTTGCACACTTGCTTCAGTCCTGTGGTCTCTGACCTCCTCTGATTGTGGACATCAGTGGAAGTGCATTGAGTTTGAGCCTCCTGAAAACAGGCTGGGTTTTTTAGTCAATCTTTGCAGGCCAATTAAAAAGTCTCCTGTAGACCACTAGAAAACCCTTTATTTCTGTGAGATGTGATATTAATCTAGCTGAATTTGGACCTAAGTCAAAAAAACATGTAGAACTTAAATCCTAATTAGGTTTATTAAATTAGCAAGTGGATTAACAAGGCACCATTGGATGAGGCAGCCCAGAGGTTGCCAAAATACTGTGCCAGTATATCACTAGTGATCCCCCATGTGCCACTACACAGTGGCATGGCACTTGGCTTGGCGCAGCCACCAGCATCTCGTAAAAACTGTGTGAAGTCCTGCCTCATCTGAATTCCAGCATGAGTGCTGCAGGGCCACAACTTTAAGTTAGTGAAGGGAGGGGGGGGAAGAAAAAAAGAAAACAAAAATTGCTCAGTATCCTGATTTTTCACTTCCTGGAGTATAACCTCATCCTCAGCTTTACAAGGGGAAAATGTTGCTTTGAGAATCCAGTCTGGATGTCAAGAAGGATTTCTCCTAATTAAGGGATTTTGGATGGGGTCTGAGGGATTCTCAGCAGGGATATTGACCCCTGATGTCTATTGACACAGAGCAAGGCAATCGCAGGCAGCTCCATCCCTCTCCGTCAGGCAGCCATCAGGAGAAGACCAAGACAAGGGAATTGGGCAAGCAGTCATTACTGCAGTACTCTCCAAATTCTGTGCCACAGGTACATTTAAGAGATTCTAGTTGTTTCTTTTCCCCTCCTTTAATTCCTGAGGATGCTCTTTCACTTTAAGATCCTGATACATATGCTGGTCACATCTTGACTTCATGAAGGGAATGAAATCCAGATGAGAATCATCCGCAGGTTCAAATGATGCTCCAGAGACTTTATGTCCCTGTTCTCAGCCAGTGCTTGAATCCAGAACCTCTTCCCATCCAAATTTGTTATGCTGAGGGGGTTGCATCGATCCAGCTGTGCTTGCAGGGAAGATTAAGCTGAGACACGGGACCTTGTTATCACTTGTTCCTGGCTGATTACATCCAAATTGCTTCTAGAAGTCACAGGTTTACTTCAGAACTCGAGAAGCAAAGTTAGCAAACTTGAAACAAAGCAGCAGTATCTTACCACAGCTTGTTATCTCTCACATCCACAGCCTCCTTGCTCTGACAGATCAAGATGAGCAATAGAGGCTGAAAGTATTAGCTGGGGACACGTCTCTTCACAGCCCAAACCCTGTAATTGTCACAGCTGCTGAAAGCTATCGATGGTCTTACGTCCCACGATACACGTGGGGTGCATTATTCCGCTCAGTTCATTTACATTCACCTCCTCTCCATTTTAATAACCTCATCTGGGTCACAGTCCCTTTACAGATGTCTGATCAAACGCAGCGGTGTCAGGGTACTCCAACCTCATCAATGCCACATCCAAGAGACAAAACCTGCCTGTCCCAGCACTTTATGGCCTCACAAGCTAATCAGCCAGCCCGCTTCCCTCCTTTGAGGCAGGCAGCAGCCTTCCCAAGGTGGCATGGCACATCATATTTCTCCATCACAAATTAGAAGTAAAACCTGCTGCCAGTTGTCTGACTGATGGCAGCTTTCCACTGTGCACGGCGATATTTCACAGGGGACACATTCAAAACAATCAGTTGGAAAGTTTTCACGGAAGGGCTGGGTGAGCTGTGAAGCTTCCTGCCACAGGACACTGTAGATGCTCAAAATGCATATGGGTGCAAATGGATCAGGATAAATCATCTTCCTGGGTGGAATGAGGAAAGGGCAATAGCCTCTGCTCTGTCTCCTCAAAGGAGTAATTGGGTGCAG